GGTGTGGCTCAAGGGGTAGAATGCCAGCCTTGAGTGAAAAAGCTAAACCACACAAGAAAAAATTGAGTTGCTAAAATTCTCTTGGGAAAAGATGCTGACACCCCCGGACTCTAAGATACACAAGTGGAAATAGTGAATTGATGGGCAAGATCATTGTCTCCAGATCCACCTTCCAGTCTCCTCTGTCCTACATGGTGCCAGGCTGACCTCCATACTTCATTAGAGGCTTTCTTTTTAGGGAGGCACACGTCTTTCTGGCCCTCCCTTAGAAGGGCCACAGTGGCAGTGTCTGTGTCTACACTAAGGCCCACAAATTGTGAAGCAATGTTCCTTCTTCTTTAGCCACCAACTCTGACTCTTCCTCTAAGCCTGCAGACCAGGAATCACTGTTGCTAGGTTTTTGTTGCTTTCTCACCACTTTGCTGGTTGCTTTTATCCTAACCACATTTTTTTTCATTCTATTCTTTTCTATACATCCTTTGAGTGAGACTGACAGAGGAGCCACACCCAGGCCAGAGTGAGCCAATACTGAAGTACTTCCACTCACTGCCTTTTCTTCTCTCTTGAGACCTCCTGGGCCTCCTGGTAGCCAAAGAGTTAAAGGCTGGCATGACAGAGGCTTCCAGACCCAACTTCCTGTGTGTCCCTATGCCCTTCAGTTAGAGAAGCAACTTCAGATAGATGTTCTGACCTTCTTGAGATCCCAGGGCTTCCTGTCAGCCTCTCTTTCCTCCTGTCCTTCTTCAACCATACCATACTCAACTTCTTTCCAGTAACTCTAGTGAAATAAAGAGGAAAAAAATGAGAAGTAATTTCTCCTCAAATGCAGAGACAAGAGACAAGTTTTTTTTAATTGTTATTATAAAGGTGATGTCCAGAGGGGTTACAGTTACATAAGTCAGGTAAAGAGTACATTTCTTTTTGGACAATGTCACCCCTTCCCTTGCTCTCCAAGTTTTCTCCTCCCATCCCCACCCAAAAGTTGTATTCATTTTTAACCTAGCAGAAATAAGTTTTAGAGTTCCCCAGTGTTTCTGTGCCTGAACCAGACTCGGGGTGGCTACAGGATAGCGAGGGGAAGAGGATCTGATTTTGTAGCACTTGGCTCTGCCACTCCTCCTTCCCTGCCTGCTCACTGTCTAAATTCTTTCCTCTTTCCTCTTGGGAAATCAGGCCGCCTCAGCTCCTGGACTGAATCTCCCTAGGGCTAGCTTTTCCTCTATCTGGATCTCTACATCATGTTTGCCCACCCTGGGAATTTGGCAGCCTCAGGTTCCCAACTTCCTCCATGAAGTGCTCAAGGAATTTATTCTTATCAAAGCACATAACTCTGAGTGCGTGTACTCTTGTGCCAGTACTGGGGATTGAATTGAAGGCCTGGGCACTGTCTCTTAGCTTTTTTCCTCCAAGTTGGTGCTATACTGCTTGAGCCACAGCTTCACTGTGGCCTTTTGATGGTTATTGGAGATAATAGTCTCTTGGTCTTTTCTGGCCAGGCTAGATCGGAACTGTTGGCCTCAGATCTCAGCCTCCCAAGTAGCTAGAATTACAGGCATGAGCCACTGTGCTGGCAGAAGCATATAACTTAAGCTTGATTTCCCCAGAAAGCAGAGCTAAGGCCAAGTCATGTCTTCCAGTAGAAGATACAGTGCACAGATAGAGTGCAAAGGTATTTCCAGGAAATAAGAATGGCCAATAGACACATGAAGAAATGTTCAACATTTCTGGCCATAAAAGAAATGTAAATCAAATGAAATCGAGATTCCATCTCACCATAGTTAGAATGGTCATTATCAAGAAAACAAATGACAGATGCTGGTAGAGATGTGGCCAAAAGGGAATGCTACTACACTGTTGGTGAGAATGTAAACTGATTCAACCACTCTGGAAAATAGTATGGAGGTTCCTCAAAAGACTAAACAAAGAGTTCCCCTATGACCCAGCAATCCTATTCCTGGGCATTTACCCAAATGATCACAAACAAAGCCACACTAAAGCTACCAGCACAACTATGTTTATTGCAGCATTATTTATCATAGCTAACATACGGAACCAACCCAGATGCCCCTCAGTAGATAAATGGGTCAAGAAAATGTGATATATATATATATATATATGCACACACAATAGAATTTTCTTTCTTTCTTCCTCCCCCCTCCCTCTCTCCCTCCCTTCCTTTCCTTCCTTCCTTCCTCCCTCCCTCCCTCCCTTTCCTTCCTTCCTTCCTTCCTTCCTTCCTTCCTGCCTTCCTGCTTGCCTGCCTTCCTGCCTTCCTGCCTTCCTGCCTGCCTTCCTGCCTTCCTGCCTGTCTGCCTGCCTGCCTTCCTGCCTTCCTTTCCCTCCCTTCCTCAGGAGCTGGGCGCCGGTGGCTCATACCTGTAACCCTAGCTACTCAGGAGGTTGAAATCTGAGGATCGTGGTTCAAAACCAACCTAGGCAGCAAAGTCTGTGAGACTCTTATCTCCAATCAACCACCAGAGAACCAGAAGTAGTGCTGTGGCTCAAGTGGTAGAGAGGAATTGAAGCCCCACAACTGTCAAAAAATAGATAAAAGAATATGTGAAATGTACAACACTTTGTTCACTGATAAAATATTACCAGTATATGGCCTGAGAAAACAAACAATCCTATTATGGTTTGATTGTGTCCTCTAAAAAAATCAATTTATAGGAAACTCAAATTCATATATTGATGGCATTTGGAGGTTGGTCTTTGGGAGGAGATGAGGTCATGAGGATGGGGCCCATATGATGGCATTAGTGGCTTCGTAAGAAGAGAGAGACCATGCTTTGTAAGAAGGGAACATGCTTGCTTTGTCTTTCCCTATAGGGAAGATGATGGTTTATACTGGGCTAGAATGCAGAAGGGGCTGGCTAGATGCTCTTGGACTTCTAGGCTCCAGAACCAGGAGCTAAATCATAAATGACTCAATTTGTGATAATCAGTTATAGCTATAGAAAACAAGACACTTTCCATTTAAGGCTAATGGTCCTCTTGGCAAAGTATACAGTGAGGTAAACATCTGTCAACAGAATGAGTTACAGACTAGGATTAGGATGGAAATGGAGGAAGGGAGTCATTGGGATCCAAGATTTAGAAAGTACAGCCACAGTGTGCCCTTGTGCTTCTCTTTGGGTAGAGCTAGGACATTGGCTAGAGGTGGAAAAGGAACTGGAAGGAGCTATACAGGCCTGGACTACACTTGTTTAGATTTTGTTCACTTAACCCTTGAAGGAAATTTTTCAATGAGTCCCAGCCAGTAAAGTGACTTTATCTGCTAGTCATTTTATCAGCAAACTTTGATGTTTTCTCATTGCTACCTGCTCCAGAGACAGTAATTGGTCCGCATACACACAGCTTAGAAGACTCAAGAATGGGGATGTGCACCTAAGCCTGTCTCTCCAACACCAGTGAGAAAGTGACAGGACTAATATTACCTTGGTTATTTCTTGCAGCTCTGTCTTGGTCTGGTCTCTTTACCTTTTCTTTTAATTGACACCAATTAGTTGTACAAGGGGGTTTCATTTTAATAAACCCATAACCAGGACGGGTCTCTATCTCAGGCTCTCTCTCTCTTTCTCTTTTTGTGCTGGTACTTGAGCTTTAATACAGGGCTTCACTTCTTCCTTTAGTTTTTTTTTTCTCAAGGCTGGTGCTCTATCACTTGAGCCACACTTCCACTTTCATCTTTTTGCTGATTAATTGGAGATAAAAATCTCTTGGATTGGGGCTGGGAAGATGGCTCAGTGGTAGAGCACGTGCCTTGCATGCCTGAGGCCCTGGGTTCGATTCCTCAGCACCACATAAGCAAAAAGAAAAAAAAAAGCCAGAAGTGGTGCTGTGGCTCAAGTGGTAGAGTGCTAGCCTTGAGCTGAAGAGCTGAGGACAGCGCCCAGGCCTAGAGTTCAGGCCCCACAACTGGACCAAAAAAAAAAAAAATCTCTTGGATTTTTCTACCTGGGCTGGTTTTAGACTTCCATCCTCAGATCTCAGCCTTCTGAGCAGCTAAGATTACATGCTGAGCCACCAGCATCCAAACAATCTGGTTTCTCTTAAAGGCAGAGCCTAGGTAAAGACTTTTGGGTAGGAGATCTAGGGAACAGAAATGAGGAAGCAAGTTATGACATTGAACAAAGAAGCAGAGAAAAACACCATGGGGATGCATAATGGAGGGAACAACAAGGCACTGTCACCAAGGTCTTCTAAGAGGAACATGAGGTGCCACTTATAAGTGAATGGCAGGGAAAACATTTATCCAAAGGATTTCACCTTCATTGGGGTGGCTTTGGGAATTATTTATCTCCCTGCTTCCAATCTACACTGCACTGATTTAAAGCCCACAGGAAACAGCACATCATCCCAGTCGTATCTGCAATGAAAATGAGAGCAAGAGGGCATGAGCTGGGGTATTTAATGTATTTGCTACAAGGTCTCTAGGAAGTAACAGCTCACAGTCTCAAATACATGTAAGGGACAAAATACTCAACCGATTGTGCTTGAGGGGCTCCAGGGAGAAACATAATCTCTCCTGTGCGCAAGATAGCAATTAGTCCTCTTCCCCAAGGAATAGCATTCAGAAAATTTTCCGGAGGCTTTCAAGCAGCCTGATGTCAAATCTCCCATTAATGGTTTGAACAATCTCTGTGACTGTCCCTGGGGGGGTTACCAGAAGAAACCAGAGGATTAAAAGGATGGGAAGGCAGGAAAGAAAGATCAGAGAGAAAAACTCATAATTAACTAATTGCACATAAAAAGAACAGAAGGTCTTTCAACAATTGAATGCTCCACTTACTACAAAATAGAATTATTTAAACACAACAACTAATACTATACAATTTACATACCTAATATAAAGAAAATGCCTTCAATTTTCCCTAAGTAAATATGGGAACAGTTTTTAAATGGGTGGTCTTGGAGGGTGGGAAGAAATACACGACCTTCTTTTGTCCCATTTCTGGTGACCCAGCTTCTGGAGACAACTTATAAAAATGTTGGTAAGGATGGGTCTCTTAGTGACCACAGGCAAACTAAAAGTAGAACTGACACGGTGCCTTGGAGTTGAACAACTGGGTACATCAACGGTAACCCCACCAGAAAACCAGGCATTTTGTTTTTGTTTTGTTTTTTGGGTCCGATCGTGGGGCCTGAACTCTGGGCCTGGGCACTGTCCCTCAGCTCTTCAGCTCAAGGCTAG